GTAACCATAGAAACATTTGGCACAATGCCAAAGCACACAGTCATTGAAGAATAAAAAATTCTTAGGAAATCATATATTATGCCTGACATTAGGTAAGAAGATACATGGTATGTGGCCAAAATATCAACAAAAATTTTGCCATGATTTTTTAACCCAAACAGATCTTAAACAGATGAGGCAGACGTCAGACATTTTCTTTTAAGTAATCCTTTTATAACACTTGCCCTGCTTACCTGTTCCCGCATTTTACTTCATCTCTCTAGTGCCATGGTTTTATTTTTATTATCCATTTCTGTGCTCGGTCTATCACAATTTAGGTAAAACATTTGTGACCCATGTTTAATGATAAATGATGTTCATATACATAGTATAATAATTGGAAAACTCTAATTATTCTGTACTTTTTGGTATGTGATATGGCCAGAGACATACAAAAAAAAAAAAATGGACAAAGGAAACACAAAATTTGTCAGACAAATCTAAGTTTTATTTCATTGAGATTAGTTTCAAGGTTGTATAAAAAATTCCAGTAGTGATTTTAAGAACCTTTTTATGTTAAATCTAGCAAATATTTCCCTAGATATTAACCTAGAAAGTTTGAGATCCTAAGCTGACTTTCATGAGCCCTTAAATTGTAGCTTATATGGTAAAATATTAGTTGTCTGGATGTGTTTATGAGAGTTTGGCTACTTGAGCTGTTAGTCAAGTATAAAAACAGGGTGAAAGAATTTTTATATCTTTCATTTTCTTTGTTTCTGCATTTTTAATTATGGAAATAGTAAATGAAAATAAGTGGACATCACTAGGAAGTATAAGGGAAAACAAATATTCTCTGGAAAATTATTAGTGGATCACAAGCAAATTTTCATAGCTGAATTAAAAAATATAGTGAGTTACTTCAGATTACTATGTGCTAATTATAAAATTTCATGCATGAAATTAGTAATTTAGAAAACAGTGAAAATACTACTTGGGATAATGATGATTTATAGCAGTGAGTATAGAATAAATGTTTTTGTTTATTGATGTGTAATTTATATAAGTAAAATTCATCCTGTTTAGGTGATTAGCTCTGTGAATTTCAGTAAGCTTATACAGTTGTGTAACCACCTCCACAACTAAGGAAATATATCCCTCATCTCCCCAGATCTCCATTCTTCTATGTCATCAATCCCTGTCTTCTCCCCACAGCCCCTGGCAATACTCATCTGATTTCTTTCTCCATAGTTCTTCCTATTCTGGAATGTTGTATAAATGGATTGATCAAATATGTAGCCTTTTGAGCCTAGCTTCTGTCACAAGGTGCAATGCTTTTGTGATTCACAGGTGTTGTTATATGTACCCCTCATTTGTTTTTTTCCATTGATGAGTGGAATTCCATTGTATAGATCTCCTACAAGTTGCTTTCCTATTTACCAGGTGAAGGATATTCGAATTGTTTTCAGCTTTTGGAGATGGAGGTCGTAAATAAAGCTGCTATAAACTTTGTGAACAGGTTTTCGCTTGGCATGGCTTCATTTCTCTTGGGTAAACAATACCTGTGTGTGGGATTGCAACATTGTAGGGAAGCATATGTTTAATTTTATAAGAAGCTGCCAAACCATTTCCAAAGTAGCTGCGCCATTTTGGATTCCCATCAGCAGTGCATTGGAGTTGTAGTTGCTCTATATTGAGTATAGGGTTTTTGTTGTTTGTTTTGTTTTGTTTTTGTTTTTGTTTTTAAAGTAGAAATCCTTTCTTTCAAGTCTTTCTGAAGATGCATTATATTAAAAATCGATATACTATGTTTGAATTTTGTATTCTTTCACAAACATGGGATGGTTAGGGTATTGGGGTGTCAGGTTGAGTTAATACCATTTTTTCTTTCCTATGAGTTAGTTCACAAATATAGATACATATATATTAAGGAATTAAAGATATTTCAGTAAAATTATGATTAAATGGTGTGTTACATATATACAATAATGGGGAGTTTCCAGATCACTTAAAATGCTTGGCCAGTAATTCAGAACTTCCTAAATATAGAGACAAATGAGTTCAGGCAAGTCTTGAAACCCTTCTAATAGCTGAGTCTTTGGTTAAATTAGAACTATGAGTTGCAATGTAGTTGACAAGGCCACTCTGTCCTTAGTTGGAGCATCTAGATGTGGCAGCCCATGAAAACAGCAACTTAGAAGCACTGGAATAGTTTATAAGATTTCCAAGCCAGTGATAGTTCTAATGTAAGTAGAATTGGCCTCTACAGATAATGCAGGTCATTTAGACCAAACTGGAATTTCCAATTGCCCTTTAAGTAATTCAGTAAGGTACGAATGGCACTTAAGAGTAAAATGTGGCTTCTCTAATTTCCAGGATGGCAATACTGCCCTGCATACAATAATGTTTGTGTTTTAACATCCTCCCATTTATTCTGGGAAAAACACCAGAAATGAAAGTGAATTTTCCAGAATAGAGACATTTGGGTTAGTTTTTTTGTGTGTGTGACTATTTTCTTCGGACTGGTTTCTCAGGATAACATGCAAAGTGTTTTGCAAGACCACATCTAAATATAGGGCAAAGGTAGAATTCAACCTGAACATTCATAACTTTCTCAAAATGTGATTTGTTACCATGTAGGCTCTTTTTTTTTTTTTTTAAATGGCTGGTTTAATTAAATATCTGAAAGTGGCTGAGACTGCAGATATACATACAAACTAACTTTTTTAGTATTTCAGCGTGAAGCTATTGTTTATTTTCAAAAATGCTAACATTTAGAGGGTTAGGAAATGGAACATATTTTGGCAAAAATTATGATTACATTGTGTCTTAGCACAACACCCGACTGTCTTCTGCCTCAGATTATTTTTTTGTCTTCTTCTTGGCACCTAATGCTAATACAAGCACTATGAAAATGCTTCTCATGTAATATGCAGTGAACTCCAATAGAAACAAGGTTTTGCAAACAGCATCCATTCAGAGGTGTGCTTACCCCGTGTGGCCCACAAATAAGAATATTCATAATTTTCACAAGTGGCCATTGCTTAAATTTGTGATTACATTATGACAACAAAAAGAATACTTTGCAACAGTTGAGTCCACATTCTCAAGTGGAGAGAAGTATGTACATGTCCCCAAAGTTAGCCTACAGATATTTATATGGACAGGCACGGTGCTTTCCATAAACTTTGGGATTTCGATATCATTTTCTATCCCTCCTCGTTCATGAGCTAATATAATCATGAGCAGTACAGCAAAGTCAGTTGTGTTTCTTCTTATTGACCCTAATTTTTTCCTTTTTCTTGCATCTTCTCAGCCTTTTAAAGATTTTTTTTTTTTTTTAATTTATTTGACAGAGAGAGATCACAAGTAGGCAGAGAGGCAGGCAGAGAGAGAGGAAGGGAAGCAGGCTCCCTGCTGAGCAGAGAGCCCGATGCGGGACTCGATCCCAGGACCCCGAGATCATGACCTGAGCCGAAGGCAGCGGCCTAACCCACTGAGCCACCCAGGCGCCCCTCTTCTCAGCCTTTGTTAGCATGTCATGTGTGGTACTGCAGTGAGACAGACCTATTGATCTGGGGAATTAATTGGTAATTAATCTTTGCATTTGCCTTTTCCCTCTCGAGGAGCCAACTGCTGTCTTTTTTGTTTTAATAGAACAAAAAAATATTTTCTTCCAGTATGTTCTGCCAAATTCTGACCGCTGGTTTTTTGTTTATTAGAATAATTGTATGATTTTCTACTGAGTATTCTTTCTGCGTTTTTGTTTTCTGTCGATAATAGTTCTTTCATTCGTGACCATAGAGAAACGAAGGGTGCTTTTTATATTTGGGGCAATCCGTTATAAAGCACTAGGACACTTCTTCCGTAGTACTGGTACGTAAATGTTCCTCTGGCAGTAGTATGTGGGTTGCCTTCACCTGTGGGTACATACCTTTCCCACGTTGTTTAATTTCCTTACTGACAAATGATGGAGTAAACTCGGGTAGTTCTCAAGAAAGACTGGAAAGTTGGAGAAGATGTCAAGAGGTTTGAGGTTAGGAATTTAATCTTTTAAAACTCCCCTTCAACAAAGATATCCATAAATAATGTGTGAGACAAGTTTGAACAGAAGCTAAGAATTTAAAAAAAATGAAATAAAATTTCAGCTCCCTCATACAGCATTTGTGACGAAAAATGCGACAGAAACCTATATTCATATAAAATGTGGGAAAACAGAATGTGTTTTCTGAGTTTGCTTGATTTCTTCATTATTAAATTATAACAGGATTCCTATTCAATATGCAGCATATTTGCATAAGTATTAAAATAATTTATCATGATTAATTCTATTATAGTAAATTTCAGGCCTAATCACAATCTGCCATATATGGTAGTGGTTTGTCAGTATTTCATGTTTTCCTGGAGGTTTGGTGGAATTGGTGCTCCTGGAACAGCACAGATGTCATCGGAGTTTGCTGTGATTAATGCGGTTCTGAAGGAGATCTAATAACGATTAGCCAGTTTCATAAAGTGTTACAGAATTAGGTCAGTGCGAGAAAATTCTAAAGCTCTTAAAAATGTACATGCTGGCAAGTCCCTCTGGCCACAAATTGGATTTCTTGAACAATGAGGAGGTTTGACCTTGGAAACAGATGAACTCTTTGGGCAAAGGTGGGAAAAGGAGACAATTTGTCCTCAAATACTCAAAGGATTGAAAAAAAAATGTGGGGTGAGTCTTAAACTAAAGGTTGAAAGTTATAGGGAAGTAGATATAAATCTGATCTATTATAATTTTTGGAAAATCACTAGAAGCACAAGGGGCTTCATGGTTCTAATGCGGCCACAAAGGAATGGAGCTTCCTTACTGGAATTATCTAGGTAGGGATAAGATACCTGTTTAGAAACACTATCAGAAAGTATTTTTTTCAATGGCTTGGAAGGAATTTCTCTTTAAGTAAATTCTGATTTTCTTTTTTCCTACTGTGAGTTTCCATAAGTTAACATCCTTCTCAGTATCAACAGATTTCTTGTATTTTTCTTAGGTTTTGGTGGAGGCTTCAGTAGGAGATGGCTTCACTGGAGACATTGCTGTCGATGATTTGTCATTCATGGACTGTACCCTCTACCCTGGTAAGGAAGAATATTTTAACATATGAGTATTCTCAAACCTATTTACTTGGGGAAAAAAGGCTGTGGAGGAAATCAATTTTTCATTTCCACAATATTGTAAAAATACCCCTACTTCTGTTCTGTTAGTGTATTAACTCTGGAAAAGGTTACTGTGAATCTTTGCTAGTAATTAGTCTTAATATCTTTGCAAACATGGTAGAGAGATTTAAATCAGTTATGCTTCTGTCTCATCATGTGGAAAATATTAGGAAATCATGTCTGAAGTTAAACCATAATTCCGTTATACTTGAGGGGTTGTATTAACCGAATTGGTCACCTTATAATTACATTGTTTTAGAGAATGTATACATCTCTCCATTACCTTCAGAGATGGTTTCCTGTCAGGCAACACTAAATATTCCTAAGGATTGCTGTCAACCATTTCTTCTCTGTGTCACACATTTCTTTTATGAAAAAAAGCCAACAACACAAATATATGTTTCCCAGATTTCTATTTCCATCCTCAGCCTTTACCCTGAGATCCAGATTTATGTACTAACTACCTACTGAACATCTCAACTTAGATGTCTGGTAGACATCTCAAAGATAATGAAGGGAAATAACCTAAAACAAGCCTACAGTAAACTAAAATAAAGCTAAAACAAACACCCCAGGCAGAGCTCCGCCCAGACAGTGCAAAAAAAAAAAAAAAAATAGTAGCAATCTAATAGGACTAGTTATCAAGCTCTTGGCTCAGAGGCTAGAGGCTCTTAAATTGCCCAGCAAGGGGGAGCACAGCTTCCTTTCTGAAGAGATCAGAGGCACAGTAATTTAAAAAGCAATTGCAATAATCCATGTAGAAAGCACTCTCAAGTTCTGAAGACTTAACCTTCAGTCCTGCTCCATCACTGTAGTGTTACTGGTTAGAAGAGCACCAGTCTCTTCCTGGACACAATCAGGGCTGGACTCCAGTTCTTTTCATTGTACTGTGGGACTCAGCTCTGAGTCTCTACCTCATCATCCTGGCAGGATTAATTCCCTTAACTGCTCTGTGTCATGGTTTCCACAGAACTCTGCAGAAAGCCAGATCCTCTCTGGATAAGGCCAGCAAGAAGGAAATTAGAATTCAACAAGTTTACCCTTATCTCTTAATGGCTGCAAGTGAATTCTTGCCTACTGATGGTCCCCTCCATCTTGCCATTCTTCCATGCCTCCCTGTCTCAGTAAAAGACAGTTTATTTCTATTTGTGTATTTTTCATGAACAAATCTGCATCTCCAGTAGCTTCAGATATATCCAGATATATCCAGCTTCAGATATATCCAGAGCCGACTGCTTCTGTCCAAGGTCCAAGCCACCACTGTGTCTGCATGGATTATCATCGTTGCCTTTTAAACGATCTCTGCTTCTACCCTTGGGAATATAATCTGTTCTCCAAACAGCAGGCGAATGGTCTTTTTCAAACTTAGATAAGATCGTGTCCTCCTGTCATTAAAGTCTTCCTATGATATCCTCTTTCATGGAGAGCAAAAGCCAACTTCTATAGTAGGTTCCAAGGCAGGCATGCCTGGTGCCCTCGTACCTGGGGACTTCACCCACCACCCCTGGGCTTCTGCTTGACTTCTCTTATCTACAAGGCCTTTACGATAATCTTTAAATCCTCCAGCCCACTTACGCCTCGGGGATTCTAAACCTTCCTATCCCTCGTCCTGAGATGAGATAAATACTCCACTCCCTTCAGTACTTCTTTCTGATCTGCTCCGAAGTTTCTTCATTAGTAAGGATTTCTCTGAACATCACACACACACACACACACACACACACACACAGAGTCTCTTCATTGACATTTTTTTTCTTCTTCTCACGTTATTTTTCTCTGTAACGCCTATCACCCTTATGGTTCTGTTTCTGTTTTCCCCAACAATACTGTTAGCTGCCTGACAGCAGTGATTTTTAATTGATCACTGTCTTATGTCCAGAACTTAAACAGCATCTGGCACATAATATTACTTAGTATTAACCTTTGTTGGATAAATGGGTAGAAAGGTGGAGAAATGCCTATATCTTTTGAAGTGCTTTATATAGTTTTGACATATATTTTAGTTTATTATTATTGCTATAATATTTTTATAACTTATAAATTTTATATATAAAAATATACATTATATATATAACAGACCTGTTATATATATAATGTATATTTATATATAGATTATATTTTTATTATTTATAATTTTTAATGATTTATAAATTTTTATTATAAATTATGTATAAATTATAAATTTATGATTTATAATTTTTATAATTTATAAGACACACTCATAGCACAGATTTTGTTGAAAGCCGAGCCTCCGTGGCTTATAACCACAGGCATTTATTTCTTGCTCTCAAGCATGTGGGTGGGCAGAGAACAATAATGGCAGAAGTATGTGTTTTTTGTTCAGAGCTCTTCTTAATTCTATAGAGCTTCAGGTTGTGTATTTCTGTTTCTTCTGTCCTGTTTATCTGGGACCAAAGCTAGAGGACGGAGGCCTTATCTGACATATTTTGTTGTGAAGTAGAGGGCAGGAAGAAGAAAACACACTTAAAGCTTCTGTTGGGACATGCTGTGCACAATGCTCACATCCACTGGTCAGAACAGGTCATGTGGTCAAGACTAACAAGGGGGCAGAGAAACCTTCTCAACTGATGTGGCAAGGATAGGAATACAGAAAGTCCTTATGAGAGAGAGAGGTGATGAATCGGTATATTAATAGCATTTACCACTCATATGTACCATCTTACATACTACTCTAACTTTTTTGATTTTGATGTTTTATTTTTTTAGAGAGAGAGTGACACATGCACCGCGAATGGGTGGGCAGGGGGAGTGGAGGGGGCAGAGGGAGAGGGAGAGAGAGAATCATAAGCAGGTTCCACATCCAGCATGGATCCCCGCATGGGGCTCGATCTTACAACCCTAAAATCATGACCTGAGCCTGAATCAAGACTTGGTTACTTGAAAAACTGAGCGACCCAAGTGCCCCCAATCCTCTAACCTTTTAAGAGTCTAGAATAATGTCTAGTCCGTTGTCAGTGAAGAGATCTTAAATGTTGGATAGGTTGATATCTTTGTTATCCCAGTTTTATGGAGCACACTGAGAAGGGGATAACCTGCCCAAGGCTACCTAGCTAAAAAGTGACAAATTATGTCTGCTTCTTAGGAGAACAGCGTTAACCACTATCATACAGCTCATCAAAAACACTAACCTCACAAGGAAGGGAATATATATTCTACTTTAGAGATGTGAAAAATTAAATGTAAAGAGCCTAAAGGGCAAGGATGAAAATATATAGTTGAGGGAAAGAACGAGAGTTTCATCTAAGAACCTGTGATTTCAGTGGCCAGGGCTCTTCCCAAATCGCCCCTGAGTCTGAGCTTAGGGAGCATCACTGTGACCCCAGTGGCAGCAGAGACCATAAAATAATACAGAAGGGAACACAAGTTACTGCCGATACTATTGCTACTCCGGTTATCTTGCTACTTACACTCTGTGGCTGATGGTTCCCAAGGAGAGAGAGAAAATGAAGTGGCCAGACCCAGAGGCAGGGATGTGAAGTATCAGTTACAGACCATTAGTCCTGATTTTCTGGTTCAAGTTTTGGATGAAAAATAGGCTTTTAATGTTGGCTTTGTAACAAAACAAACACTGAATTAAAACCACAGAGCCTGTTGAAACGATAGGTTTCTTAAAGGAATTTGATGTCATCTTTCCATAAGATGAACGTAAAAATAAAATTTCAGCTTTCAATAAAAATATTGCCCTTGATGATGATAAGTTTTTTGTTTTTTTTTTTCTTCTGTTAGCTGAGACGGGATCAGCACGTGTAGATTCTCTTGCAATGTTGATTTGTTTCCCAATATGAACTGATTATCTACAGTGTTTTTCTTCCTTGGCTAATAAAACAAAACTTAAAAATACATACACACAGATGCAAAATATTGACCTAATCCCCAAAGTGTGGGTTGGCACATAACTGATATCTTTTATCTTGTGCTAAATGACCATAAGGAGTCCTTTATTCCGTTTTTACCTATTTCCTTAAAATCAGCCTCTTTTTCCCTCATTCCTTATACCTTTTTATGATGTCACTATTCTCCAGCAACCCAGGCTGAAATTCCACAGTATTCTTTGACTTTCCCCTTAAGATTGCCTGCTTGCAAAACTTGCTGACACCAACTCCAAAATAATTCTCAAATTTCTTCTGTGTTTTTCCCCCATTGTTACCGTAGTTCAAAACAGTGTTGACTAGTAACCTTTTAACTGCAAACTTTCATTAATTTCCCCCCAATAGTATATATGCCATGAGCTTACTTTCCTTTCACTTTTTCCTACAACATCATTATTTGCTTTCCTAGGTTAACTCTTTCTCATGTTCTCACTTCCAGTTGTTTGTAACTTAATTTTCAAATGCATTCTCTGTTATGGATTGTACCTTCTTTGTTTCCATATCTTGATGAATATAGATTTTAAAACTAATCCAGGAGGATACTAGAGAAAAGACATTTTAGGCAAGATTAATTGCATTTCTAGGGAAAGTAGACAAACTTAACCATGCAATAGAATCCTATGATTATTTTTGTGTCAGTGTATAATGATGTTGCTCATTCCCAGAGTAGAGAGTCATGGAGGATGGTGGCAAAGTCAAATCTACTCACTTTGAATCAGATCATCAGAGTAGATGATTAAGTAAGAATTGTTGCCAGACAATATTCAGATTTAAAAATAAGTATCCCATAGAAAGTATCTGTTTTTCATGACTCTTTCTCCAAACTATATGAGAAAAGCAAGAAGGGTGTTCCCTTCAGCAGACCACATATGACAGTTTGTATCTTGCCTCAAGGATTATTTGTGAGATAGCTGGGTTGTTTGTAAAACTAAAGTCAAAACTACATGACATCACAGCATACTGTGTACAAACTGAAAAAAAAAAATCGCCTAAGTGCTTTTCATCCTATTTTAAAAACTCAGAATTCAGCAA